ATATATATATATATTATAATAATATATAATATATATTAATATAGATTTGAAAAGTTCAGAGGCAAATACACTACCATTGTCTACGCCAGGCCTGCACAACATTCGTCCCGCGGGTCGCATGCGGCCCCGTGAAACATTTTCCTTGGGGCAGGGGCGATGGGCTCATCAACGCTCGAGCCCCTCAAAAATCATCTTTAAAAGTAATCAAGTGTAAAATAACCTGGCGTTATTTTTAAATAAGGGCAAATGAAATTGCAACTCTTTCTTCATGCCTCTTCTCATCATTTTTAAATTTCCTTACAGAGAAAACATTTAATACTAAGATTTGACTTTTTACATTTAGGATGCAATGTAACCAAATTATAACAGAGTAATTATTTTTTTATTTTTCAACTGCCAATAATGTGTAAATATGAAACAACAATGGTCAGCTTTTATATGAACACCTGCGTGTACAGCAATGTAAGAAAAGTATTGGAATTTCTATACCACACCTGCAACAATATTGGCTGAGCATGCCATAAGGTTCTTCATTCATTTCTTATACACACAGTATAATATCCTGAATAAACCTTAATGCACCCCATTCCTTTATTAATTGTTACGTCATAGTTTTCGTCGGCATTGTTGCATTAGTCAACAATCGACTTTCGTTAGTGTGGAAGGAACTGATCTGTGAATCGTTTGTAGAAGTGCGTCATAGACGAGATACACTTGTGCTGTTGAAAATCATTCGGAATAAATATAGGGTAAGATATGTGAATTATTAAGAAATTCGTGATACTGTCCTACACTCTCTCCATTTAACTTTTTATTCAATTGTTTATTGCGGGCGGACTTCGAGTTCTCTTCCCTTGAACTAAGAGTTAGGCTAAGGGTTGCAATATTTTATTTTTATTATCATTTTTCAACATATTTACATGTTTTCGTTGATACTTATGAACACTTGTAAGAAAATTAACCTCGTATTTCTTCTTACACAATTTCAAATAATACGAGACTGACTTCTGTTAGTTTATGGCATTATTTATGGTAAAATAATGTTCTAGTAAACAATTAACAATTTAAAATTTTAAATAGTAAGGCGTGTTTAGTACCCCAGAATCTTAATAAAAATGTATTGCACTGTATCGCATTGATACTGAACACTCTACAACATTTTCACATGGAGTGAACAATGAAAAACGTGGGATATGACATAACATTTCTTATATTTTTCACATGTAGAGCTTCGCGGTTCTCCTTAGCTATTGCTATAATCGTATTAAGTCTCGATATGCATTTCTACAACCAAGAAAGAAACTGTCGCCACGGAGCCAAGCCCTGCTTCGGAATCTATTAACTGCTCGTTTAATCAAATATATTGCTTTTTATGGAAGCCTAAATTCGAATACCAAGATTACTACACGCCCCGCATTCCGACCATATCCTGAGGCATATGAAGTCAGTCCATAACCTCAGTCTCCATTTAATTAGTGTCAATTTTAATATTATTATTCCACTAAAATTTAGGTCTCCAAAATGGTCTCTACCTTTCGGGTTTTTCGACAGAAATGTCGCATTCCTTGCCTCTGCTATGTGTACTACACGCCCCACCCATCTCATCCTCCTTAATTTTATCACCTGAGAAAAAATTACGATTATAAAGCTGCGATTTGTGTACTTTTACACATTCTTCGGCAGGACCAAATATTTTTCTTAGTTCCGTGTTGTCAGACACTCTCAGTTGATAAGCAAGCATGTCAATAAGAAGAAAACCCTGTTATAACAATGTACTGTTTTTCAGGAAATGGAAGTAAAGCAAGGAAGCTGCTGTTCTCTGCGAGATAGCAAGTGCATGTGCACCGAAGCGTTGTCTTATCTGAGTGGCTTGAGAGAAAAGAAAACTCTGTGTGACGCGGTGTTGAAGTTGGAAGATGGTAGAGATTTTCCTGTCCACAGAGTGATTCTCTCGATGTGTAGCGAATATTTCAGGTTTGTTTGGTTACTGATGTAGTTGTTAACGCGTGAAATTAGGGCTTAATAGGACTTCAGGACGTAGCAGACGTCAATTAGAATGTGAAATATGACATCATTTTTTGTTGCAGAAACCTGAATTTTTTACACGGCTATCTATATGTTGTAATTTGTTTATTGTGGTGGGATGTCAGGTTCTCACGGCGGTGAGAATGCAGATGGCTTTCTTCTGGATTGTTGCGCCATTACTCCCTGGTTATGGGGCAGTTGCCACAATGTACAAACACTAACGTATATGTTCCATTGTATATCGGGAAGTGATTTGTGACAGAACACTCTGATTCAGGGGGCCTTCGCTTTGTACAATAATGATCTATCAGTGTAATGCAAGCCTGAGGTATATGCTGATATATATGCGATGTCCCTAAATCATCAGTTACTAAGATGGCTGTCTTCTCGTTTGTAGCGCCGTGAAGTCTGACAGCCATCTTCTTACTCACCGCTGTGGGAACCTAAAATCCTTCGATATTTCAATCTATGTGTGCGCGCGTGCATACATAACATATGAAAAGTATTCATATAAAGCAAAGGTACATTCATTACACAACAGACGTTAACAAAATTAACATTACTTTTTGACTACGTAAATTTTACAGAGAAATTAAATTTCATGCAAATTACTATTATGAATTTCTGTTCGTATTCCTCAACATCAGACCGCTTCAGGCGAGCAGAAGCCCTGGGTATATGTACATTATTAACGGCAGGTTCGTGACGTTCCAGGAACCTCTTCGGTACGACACTGCACGCCGACGAGCAGACTGACGTTCTCCTGCACGGAGTCAGCTCGGATATCATGGATCAGATACTGGGTTACATTTATACAAAGAAGGTAGACATTAATCATGAAAACGTGTGTCAGCTGCTCTTAACGTCCGACTACCTGCGTGTGCTAGGCGTTATTGAACTCTGCTGTCAGTTTCTGCAGAACACGTTGGACCTTGATAATTGCATCGGGATCATGCGTCTCGCAAGGTAATTGATGTTCATTGGTCATTTTCTGGGACGCTAACCTTCGTTAAAGAAGCAACTTTAATATTCCGAGACCAGCCACGTGCCGCGTCAGAGATGGCACTTTGAACTTAGGGCCGAGCTCTTGGTCAGCTCTATTGGTAGAGCTATTCACAGTTTTACAGGTGTTTACTTCTATGTACCTGGGACAAACCTTGCCCCTGAGGTACATAGTGCAGAAGCCTTTTCTGAAATTCATTTTGTTTTTAATACGTGTTGTATGCATTATGTATATTTATTGTGAGGGATGACTATATATTTTGTTGTGGCTGACTCTGCACGACTCTCATACAGACTTGCCATTATCAATATCAAAATACCGCCATAAATCCCCTCTTCCACCATACGAACCAAAAATGTTTACCAAATGGCGACCTCGTAAGGTTAATGCCGGAATAAAAATTCATATCGAATGCAGTAAGATCCTCTGCTCAAATTTTCACCTTGCCCTATTTTTCATCTCTCTACCTCTTTCAGTTTCGAACGTCTTGCATTCTCTTCAACCTGTCTTTACCGGAAGGACGAGCGGGCTCTGCCTAGGGACCTTCACAGGTGTAAACTTTCCCCTTTCCCCCAGTTAAATGCTTCGTCTCCACGTTCTATCCTCCTCATTCATTCATCCGGGTTTCAAAGGGTTTTTGGTAAAAGATGGCGGTAAAGTTCTGTGGTGTGCGGACACTTCGGAATCCAGTTCTAGTTGCAGTGTTTCACTTCGTCGAGATTGCGAAGGAGCTCATGAGCCGATCTCATTTTCGCTGCAAACAGGTGTCACTTTTGCGTCGACCTTGAATCTCACGCTCGTCGTTACGTTTTGCGCCACTTCGCTCAGTTGTATCAGCAGAGCGAAGAAGTGCCGGAACTACCAGTAGAGGAGCTGCAGACGATTATTGGGGCGGAAGAACTGAACGTGAATGACGAGAAAGACGCGTGGGACTGCATGATCCGGTGGATCGACCACGACGCAGAAAACAGAAAAGAACACACAGCAGAGCTCATGAAGAACGTTAGGTTGGGACTGCTTGACGAAAATTTCTTCCTCGAAGAGGTCAGTACGGCTCAGTAAGCGTAAATGTTTACATGCAGGGAAAGCACGCAAATCCAAACCCACTTTCAAACGCGTTCGTAATTAATAATTACAAAAATTGCGCCAGTCCTTCTGCAAGTAACAATCCGAGAATGTCTGAACAGAATGTCATTATTCTTTATTTCCTATGGATTGTAATAGAATGTGTTGACATTTGAATTTTTGTTAAAATCTTACAACGGTAACTGGAACTTTTCATAAGGACCTAAACGTTTTCATGCTCGCAAAGGTTGCTGGGTCACAAATGCCCAGGTGACTTTGGTTTCTTAGTTATTGGTTAAATACAGCCGCTTCGCCGTTTTTCTTTACGTTCTCAAACATTAGGTACATATAATCCCTTGGCTTCTCATTCATGCATGTATTATTCAAAACAACTAATTATTCATCCTTTTACCTTTTATTCACCATAGAATTAATTGTTCATAACTTTCTTTCCACGCTACATCATTTTGACGATGAATTAGAGTTATCAACACAAGACGGTCGAAACAAGCAGTTCGCATGGGAGAGATAGTAAATACATATACATTTTTTGAATGCAACTCAAAATATAGATGTTACTGACGTCTGTATTTTGCAATTGAAATATTTTTCAATAGAATTCCTTAAGGTCGATTTTAACATTGTTCTCCCTACTCTCTGGAACTTGTACACTTGTTAGCGGGACATTACGTAAAGCAGAAAATGTCTTCTCCTGTGTATCCCATAATCTCTTTCAGTGAGTTTTCCCAACCAAAATTTTGTGTTCGTCTGTAATGAAACATCCAAAAATTCATACTGTCTCTTCTTAAATGTTCATAAGGTTTACATTGCACTGTTAAACAGGTAAGACATCACCCATATGTTAGAGAAAATGATGCATGCAAACCCGTTATCATCGAGACGCTGAAGTTTCTGGAGGAGTCAGAAACAATCTTGGCGTACGACGGGGAATATCGGACTCCGAAGTTTGCCATCCCGCGAATCCCTCATGACATTATCTTTGTTATTGGAGGATGGACCACGGAAATTGTCACTGATTCGATCGAAACATACGACACGCAGGCAGACCGATGGATTAAGGTGAGTGCCAAACAACTGCTCCTTTTTGAATAATATCTGCACAAAAAACCTTTTTCTCTTTGCTTATTTCTGCCACATAATTGTTGTTCTTATTTCATTACAAGTATTTGAACCCTCTTTGCCTATTTTTTCGCCTCAATTTATTTGCATTGGATCGGAACGTTCTTTAAAAATAAGTTGCAGACACGAGAATTAAACCGAATAAATAAATTAAATAAACGTTTCTCGTATGTGAAATATGTGTTCAAATTGGAGTCCACAAAATAAATTTTGTTCGCCACATACAACATTTATTACAAACGTCCTACATGAAATGTAATAACAACTTGTCTGGTGAGTTTGGACCTCAAACGAAATTATTGTTGTCCATCATTGTTATTTTGAACATTATAAATTACGTTAAGTATTGAGTAGCGAGAATGTTCGTTATTCGGGTGGTAACGTCGTTTGAAATGATAAGTAATTTCATTTTTTCGGTGGAACGTACTGCCTTCAGCTTCGCGTCGTTAAAACCCCTATCGACAACAGCTGTCTTCATCGCCGTGATAGCCTCATATGTCAGAAATGTATAACATAGTCCACATTCGTCTGAGAGTAGAGACAACACTGGAGTAGAATAGCAGTATATCAGTTACCTACAGACTTCAAGAAAACATTAGTCAATTCCACCATTGCTTCTCACGACATTTCTCGCGTGCGGTAGGCCGGGCCAGCCAGCACGGTGTAGCATATTCGACCTCTGCTCCCTCAGTTCTCCAGAATCTTAGGTAAATAGTTAAACTTTGGTGGACCTCACGAACAAAATAATTATACGTGTGCCCGTATTATGTCGTTGTTGTAGATGGAAGAGGGAGACCCGATGGGACCGCGAGTCCACCATGGCAGCGCAGTAGTCGGTTATAACATTTACGTCATCGGTGGTTTTGACCGCTTTAAATCCTTGAACTCAGTCAGCTGCTTCAACGCAGTTACAAAGAAATGGCGCGAGGTGGGGCCCATGAATGACCGCAGGTAAGACACAACTCACAGACTAACGTACTCCGTCCTTCTTGAAAAGCTGATAGTTGTTCTGCTCGTCAAGAAATATATGTGTACAATGGCTACAACCTGTACCGCTCACATACAGAAACATTACGTACAGTGTAAATAAATGCACTTGCATCGGTGTTGGTCTTCGTTAAAACCCGAATAGAAAACAGTTACTATTTCGTTCTTAGTTTCTCCAGGTTTTAAGTATATGATTTTCTTGCTAACTCATTTGAGTTACGATTCAACAGTAGATAATGCAGAGTGAAGTTCTGCGAAAGCGAATCTGTTTGTGTGAGCAACTAATGAGCGTCAAAGCCTGAGGAGCGTGAAGCATATCAACGTCTGTACTCTTTTGTTTCAGAGCGTACGTCAGTGTGGCAGTGCTCGGGGGTCTGGTGTACGCTGTTGGTGGCTACACTGACAAGCGTCGACATAGAACGGCCGAGCGATACGACTACAGGAGGAACCAATGGTCGATGATCGCTTCTATGAACACGCGGCGATCTGACGCAAGTGCGACTGCACTCAATGGTAAAGAGAATCTTGTGAAACAGAACCGATTAAATTAATGAATAATGGCGACGCTATCAGAACTACGAGATAGAATCCAGTTACACCTGCAGGTGATAGAGCGCAGTAAGATCCAGTAACAGACCAACAGGAATTATTTCATAGAAATTCGTCTGCTTACAGTTGCTAGGACATTAAATGCATTCACAACTACAAATTGTCCCACATCTGTACTATGTACGGATCGGTACAATTATTATACTTAGTACAACTCAAACATGTTATAACATTTGTGTCATAGAGCTGGTCTCTCTTTACAGATAAAATCTACGTCGTTGGTGGAATGAATGGCCAAGAATATTTGGCCTCAGCAGAGGTGTATGACCCACAGACGAACGAATGGACAAACATTTCACCGATGTCTTCCCCACGCAGCGGCCTGTCTTGCGTCGCTTTCCAGGGCAGTGTGTACGCCGTAGGTAAGAACTTGCGATTTTGTGATCAGTATTTTTATCCTGCTTTTACCTCTTATTATGTGATTTGTGTATCGAGGTTTCGATTACTTTCTCCACAATTCTCACTAACAAAAACAACGCGTAATCTTTTCTTGTATTCCAATTATAATATGCCTCAATAGTCACGTATTTTTTAAGCGTGGGATAGAAATTTCATTTTGCCGTGCGCTGTGGCAACACTGGCATCGTCTCCCTACAGAGGCCGCGTTGTTTGAAGCGGTTTCTTTGAATTCCGATCTCTTTATTCGGCGGTTTACGTAAGAAATTACGTTTTCAACAATGCAATGTGTTTATTGCTGAACAATGTTTTCGGACGCAGTCATATGGAGCAGTTAACAGACGTGTCAAGTGCTGCAGTACAAAATAATTTTGGAAATTCAATGGAGTCACTCGTCAGTCGTCAGATTGTCTAGGAATGTGATGAAAGGGAGTACGTTGTTGATAAGTGGGTTCGGAATGCTTTCAACACATGTTTCAATTTTGTAATTATAATCTTCATATGTAACTGTAATCTAATATGCAAATTGAACGTGGTATTAAACTTGGGTTGGGTGACAGCGTAGTTCAGGACAATCTTCTTGTAGTGGCGTACTGTATAAAAGAACTACTGAGCTGTGAGGTTCGTGTTTCATAAATTCCATTGTTCACTAATCGAGCTATAAGGACGAGAAAATGTGCTTCATCATAGCCATTTTATTCTTGATTTTGTACCTGTTGCAAATACGAACATTGCAAAAAGGAGTGAATTGGTTTCTTCTCATTAATGTGGTTTTAGACATTTTTTGTTTCATTCATTGGTTTGTTCATTACGTGGACCGAATTTAATATGTTAGAAGCATAAAACCATACGATGGGGTGGGCGGAGTATGTAGTACGCAAGGAATATAAGAGAAATGCGAAGTATTAATCTGAAAACCGAAGGGAAGAGACCAAGCAAATAGGAGGATAATATTAAAAGTGAATTTAGAAAAAAATAAGTTACGTGAGAACGGTCGAATGATGGGATCTTGAGAACGTGGTAATGAACATTCTGGTCCCCATAACTCATATGCAGTTGGTGATAGTGACGATGATGGAGGTGCACATGTGTGCCTCTGTCGTAGGCCTTATTAGATTATGAATATGTAAAGTTTCGATATTTTACATTGGATACTAAATCATTTTATATCCCACGTCATAATTATTAAATAATTCTTGTCTTCTTAGAACTTTTCAAATATATAGCAATCATGCTCTATCTTGCCCCGGGTACGGGGCAAAATGGGGCATGTTACATTCTTGTAAAGAATTTAATATCTAAAAAACTGTAACTCTTAGAACTAAACAAATAACTCATAATGAATTTCAAATATACAATAAATTCACACAAGGTTACTCAATGTGTTTGTCTTTATTATTGTCTCTTCCACGTGCCTCCAAAAACTAAGTTTCCCGTTCTGACCTGGGCTCCCCTACAGGCCTGAAGAAGCATATTTAAGACGCTATAAGTGTTTATATACAGAAGTAAACTTGTCAAGGGTGGTTTATATGAACATTATGTAATGTATTTAGTCTGCTAATGCATGTTGAATCCCTTCGAGACGTATCCAATCATATCTGAACGTCTTCGAATATGTCCAAGCCTTTGTAAACTTGTCATGATTATTGTAGATGAATGAACTCTAAATTCTCTTAACCTGTCGAAGGCTGTTGAGATCTGCTGAAACCTCTCGAAACTTTTCGATAGCTGTCTTAACCTGTCCAAGTATGTCGGAATGTCTCGGAATATGTGCAAACCGTAGTAAACCTCTCTTAAGTAGTTTATGCAATGTGCTATAATTTAAGACCTGTAGAGACTTCGAAACATGTTAAATTCTGTTGAAACCTTTTGAAACTTGTCGAGTCTAGTCGAAAGCTGTGAAAACATGTCTGTTTCTCCGAATGTGTTCATAAAGTGGTAAAGTTGTAACGACTAGATTATACGAACAATCTGTAACCTGCGTAGACCTGTTGAGAACTGTAGAAAGCTGCCGAAACTTGTCGAATCCTGTCCATAACTGTCCAATTACATCTAAACCACTCGTAATTTGTCCAAACTACGGTAATATCTTCCTATTAACTACACTATTTACAAGCATTTGAATTTCCGTGTCCTTCAATTTATATTTTGAATGGGGTTTGTGTTTATTCCACTGATGTAATAAAATAAACACTACAACACAATATTTTATTACCCAGGCCGCAGCTTCCTCATCAGTATTTTTTTGGTACAACAAAATATATTAGAATTATTACTAATATATTCTCATTAGCAGACATTATTTATTATTTATTAGTACCTCTCTCTGTTCAAAAAGAAGTGTAGCTCCACTCCACTCATGATTTCCAAGATATTCAAGGATTAAATTTAATTTATTCCATTCAATAATATTCCAGTAGATGGCAGCAGTAATATCAACTTCCCGTTACTTAAGACTGTTAATATTTTCAACCATTATTATTTCTGAAATTCTACGGTCAATAGGAAGTGCCAACCAAGTCTACCTATGGAAGATTTCAACCTGTTCTTCGATCAATCGTACCGGTCCAATATTGTCTGCATTAACTGCTGGAAAATATTCGAATTTAATTGTTTATGATTTATTCGGTATTGACTGACGTGAGAGTATCTATACAATCCGTTTAATTTATGTTCCATTAATAAAGTAATAAATAAACGATAATTCAATCGATCGATCATAGTCCAAATTAATGTCCAGATCAGTGTGTGCCCACCCTATGAAGTATACCAAATGCACTGCCCACACCCAGCCCAAGCCTAGCTCATGCACAACCCAGCATATGACTATGCCCAATCCATACCCATCCATGACCAGCCCAATACATGCCCACCCACTCACAGCCCATGCTCATTCCCACCCAAGCTCAGCCCATGGTCAGTCAAGACAATGCTGAACTCACGTAGTGTACAATTCATCCCGTGCACTGCTAAATCCCTACCCATCCATCGCCCAACAAATGCACAATGCAGCACATACCCGACCATCCTAGCCAAAGGCCAGCGCAGCCTAATTCCTACAACGCCCGTAAGTGCGCCACCCTCCACATCGACGGAAGGCGGAAAGAGACGGTGCCATCCACCTTTCACATCCAAGGGGAAACGCCTGATGTCCTGGCCGAGTCCTATCTCTAAAAACATCTTGGCGTCCCGACAGGGTACCACGTTGCTCCATCGGCGGAGGAAGCCATAGCGGAGATGAGTGCCAACATCGCAAAAGTGGACGCGTCACTCCTCGCCCCGAGGCAGAAGTTCGATGCGGTATGCACTTTCATCCTTCCCTGTCTCTCCTTTCACCTGAGAACCGGGGTAGTCCGCAAGAAGGCGCTCGTGGGTCTCGACAATCAGCTAAAAGCCGCAGGGAAGAGGTGACTGAACCTCCCGCGAAACGCGGGAGCCGAACCCCTCTACCTCAGCCACCAAATGGGAGGAGTCAACCTCCTGCCCACGAGTCTCCTCGCTCAGGTGAGTCACCTCGTCCACGGCTTCCGCCTGCTGCGGTCAGCTAAGCCACTCTGCGACGAAATGCTACGGGCCGTAGTGGGGCGGCGCACGCGCCGTGCAACCACTCGATCTGGTGGACTACCTCAATGGTCGCATGGAAGGGGACTTCGCCCACGAGAGCGTTGAGGTCACCAACACCTGGACTCGCCTTCGGACTGCCACCAGGCACATCAGGACGAAGATGAACGTGGGATGGGCCCTGGACGCCGACCAGCAGCCCCAGCTGATGGTCAACGGAACTAAACTGCTTGCGAAAGATGCGGAGACCGCTCTGACAAACGCCATCAGGGGCTATTTTAGGCAACGCCTGCTGAATAAGCCAGATCAGGGCAAAGTCTACGCGGTGACAAGTGCCTCGACGCCGCCAAACCATTTCATGCGGAGCGGGGACTTTACTCGCTTCGCGGAGTGGCGGTTCGTGCACGAGCCCGCCTTGACTGTGTGCCACTCAACGGGTCCCGCCGCTGGGGGAACGGGGTGAAGACCGGCCGCAGGTGTGGGTACGAAAACGAGACCCTGCCGCACGTCTTGAACCATTGTAAGCCGCACTTCGCCGCCATCACAACGCGGTCCTTGGTCGGCTTGTCAAGGCGCTCAAGCCTTCGAGCGGGACCACGGTCCGCGTGAACCAGACCGTGCCAGGTTTCAACGACGGTCTTCGGCCCGACCTCTTTATTCTTAATGAGGCGGAGAAGACCGCCGCGATAATCGATGTGGCTACGCCGTTTGAAAATCGGTACGCCGCATTTGAAGCCGCGCGGAATGGCAAGAAGGTCAAATACGACCACATTGCGAGCCACCTGCGTCAGCAGGGCTACGATGTGGTCGTAGATGCCTTCCTTGTTGGGGCGCTGGGTGGATGGGATCCGGCGAACGAGCGGATCATCAGCCAGTTGCGCCTTGGGCACCGCTACTGCCATCTTATGCGGCGCCTAATGTGCACGGACGCTATCCGCTGGAGTAGGGACATCTATGTCGAGCA